AAAATACAAAGGTACGTTGAAATTTTCTTGAAGTAATGCTTAGCAATAACGTTTCATATCATATCACCGACTCTAATCTCTTGTCAAACTTTTCTAAAACGGATTCGCTTTCGCGAAACTCCGTTATAATAATGAGAAGCGGTTCATTTTACTGCATGAAGACTTCCTATCTTTTATTAATTTCCACATCAAGCTACTCGAACCTTCTGTTGGCATCTGAGAGGCTACCCGCTTTATTCATTACGGGCAAGCAACAAGGCGAAGAACCTAGAAAAAGAAAGCACAGGAAAGCTGCTAGCACATCACTGGGATTGCCAATAATGCAAACTTAATTATTAAAAGTCAATTTATTCTCTTGAACAAAGAATACTAAAGTATATAAACGAGCAATTTTTATTTTGGAGTTAAATAAAAGTATTGTTGGATACAATTACGTTAGGTTAGGTTGCGTTTCTGTGTCCGTTTGTTTATAACAATCGTCATCATTAGGTCGTCATCCCTAAGACTGATTGGGCACGCACTTCCATTCTTTCTATCCGGAACCAATCTTCGCATTTCCATAAAACTCGAACTGTTGGTGAACGGTAATCTAATCTTATAATCTAGGCCTAGCTTCTGTTTCTGCTTCTAATATGCCTCTAACTAGTCCTTCATGCCTGAGAAGGTGCCCTACAAACCTACAGCAATGTAAGCATAAAGAAAATTATTTTTGGCTGATTTGGTTGACAGTGGGTTAGGTTTAGTTAGGACATTTTCGGGTTGTTGCACTCGCGATATAATAGTTTGTGATTTCCAATTTTAAGGGCGCTTTAATCATAATAATAATTGGCTGGTACGCGCAGTATTATTTTTGTGAGATTTAGGATCGGTGTATTATATATTTACGGTGAAAAGTTGTAACGTATCGGCAGTTGCAACGTGTAAATGTATACACCTATCGCCAGGTTATTTCCTAGTTGGTTACGAGGCAACAAACTGTGGGATTTAAGCGCAAGCCGCAGGGATCTAGATAAATTCCCTTACAGTTCATCTTTCATCAATCCGCCACAGGTTATTCTAGCAAGCTATTTGCGATATTGCGATATCCGTCGGATACAAGTAGATATAGTTGATAACGAAAACCAATATCCTACTTCATTTAGTTCTTTTCTGCTATCAACCACTAGTATGATTGTATAAACGACAAATAAAGAGTGTACGTATACTCAATGGGTGTATATCGTATCCATTGCGAATAATTCGCTACTTTCAAGTTTGCCTTAGACCCTTCTGATAATAGTGCTAATCTGAGAAATAGATAACTAAAAGTTCAGGCGATTTGTAACGTATCGTTCACAGTAAATTGTGTGTTGTAGCTGATAACGAATCGCGTATGGGTATTTTAATAAAAATTCGATGGTATTTAATAAAATGAGAGCGGTATTGACAAAACAGTAATGTATGAAAATGAATAAAAGTAAAAAAAAAATACTGGTAGGTATGCAAAGGAAGAAAAAGTAGAGAAAGAGCGAATACAAAGATAGGAGATGAAAGTAGCTAATTTTAGGTATCTATGAAGTCAGATAAGTCAGGACGGAAGCAGTAGTAGGCGTATCAAGTAGAGGGTAGTGCAGGGTCAAGCCACTTGTATGCGTTCTAACGCTTAATTTAGAAATTCGAAAAAGGTTGTTAAAGGTGTATGTTTGGAGCGCGGCGTTGTACGGGTGTGAAACATGGACAGTGGGCGCGGCGGAAAAGAAAAGGTTAGAAGTCTTCGAAATGTGGTGCTATAGGCGAATGATGAGGATAACGTGGGTAGAAAAGGTTAGAAATGAAGAGATATTAGAAAGAATAGAAGAACAGAGGACTCTATGGAAGTCAATAAAAAATAGGCGAGATAGGTTGGTAGGACACCTTCTCAGGCATGAAGGTTTAGTCAGATACATATTAGAGGCAGAAACAGGAATTAAGAGAGGTAGAGGTAGACCTAGGTTAGATTACTGTTCGCAAATAGTTAAGGATGTAGGTTGGTCTAGTTTTAAGGAAATACGAAGTTTAGCTCACAATAGGAAAGAGTGGAGGTACGTCATAGGCTGACGATCTTATGATGGGGATGAAACAATTAATTGCTCATTCTATGAAGCAAATTCTCGATATATATATAGGTCTAGTGAATGGCATTTATTGTTTTATACAGCTAATACGTATGTAGGCTAAATGAAGTTCATTACTACCCCCATACAACCATGATGTTAAGTACCTATCTAGGGCCAGAGTAGGCGCACATACATTTAATTTAATTAAACTATGTATCTATCTAATCACGCCACTATATTATACCTAATACTGTCCGATTGAAATAGGATTCTCTTTGATCTTGCGGCAAACCCGATAACATAGTTTTAGCAGGACGTAGGCTAATTATACCTTCAAATTCCCGCAGAGCGGCCCGTGATGTTTGGATAAGGTCGCAGTTCAAAAATAGCAAATACCTAAATGTTGACTAATTCCTTGGTAATTAATGTCTATTGGCAATTCCATTTAACATAATATATACGTGTATGTATATGTATAAAATTAAATTACATTCGTGGAAATAGATGTTACGTACATCAAATGCTTCTTTTGGCTCATCAATGATTTTTAGATAAATGGAATAAAAGGGTCAACATGAGGTCAGAATTGGTCACTTTCTTCTGTCGTATGTAAATTTTAAGGATAAAAATGTGAAATTAGGAAATGGATGTATGGTAAGGCATCCAAAATAAAAAATATTTGTTTAACGAGTATTTATTAATTTTAGAAGTGCTATTTTTGCGTGCGTCAGGATAATCAAATCAGTTTTCCTTTATCGCTTCGTCGGCATCATGTTTTCTTTGATGTAGCTCCGTACACATATGTAGATATATTTCAATTTTGCTGCTACATATTGCAATGCTTTGTAATATTCTAATGAAAATTGCTCTCTACTAATATGAACCCAGTTTTGATTATTTGAAACATGAAAATCTCAATTGAAGATATTCTTCCTTGTTTTAGATATGTACTGTATTTAGCTTTTTGGAGAAAACATTACCATCGCGAAGAGGAACTCATATCCATATTCTTTATTTACCTTTAAGGATTGTTTAGGTTTACTTTCCCCGTCCAGGATGTTGTCGTTTAATTAGAATCTTAAATAAAAATCGACAAAAAAAGGGGGTCTAAATGTCCCTGCTGCGTGCATAGTTGGTTGCATTAACCTATGCTTTACTCTTTAATCGATCCCTAAATCCTACTGATCATGACTCTTTTCTGACTCAGTATAACTCCATTCTCTTCGAGGATCGCCAGTCGAATTTTTGCTGAAAGGTTGAAGTTCTTTAAGGTACTCCGATATTTGATGAAAAAAAACTGCCATGCAGCACAGTTCAAGTTTGAATGAGTTCAGCTAGTATATAACAATTTATGAAAAATTATTGTCATCTCATATATTTATGATGATAAATTTTGTTTCACAAAAACCTGCTTAATATAGCACAGACAACGCCACTGTTGAATAGATTAATCATAATAACATGACTTGCTTGAAAGATGTATCATTTATTATACAGTGTCTTGTTATTTATTTAAAAGTAGGTCATCCGTTGCAAAAGTTGGGATATCAATGCAGCTCGGCGTTAAATTTAAGACTTTAAGCTGAATTAACTCAAATAAAATCGTTAAAGTGACTCAAGTGAAGAAAGTTCTGGTCCCATGCAACCAACAAATTACAGGCATTCTTGAGTTTATGGGCCAAGTTGGGAATAATTTGTCCATTTCTTGATCTGTTTAATTTATTTTTCTTCTTACAATCGATTCGTGCGATATTTAATAGTCGATATAAAACGGTAATAAACGGATTTAGGCACGAAATAATAAAAGCGAACAGGAATTATTTTACTTACACTGTTTGGTATTGATTTATTACCCAAGCGAAATCTTTTTTACTTTTAATGTTGATATATTTCAGAAACTTTCGTCTTTGTTATATACATTGTTGGTTCCTGTCTGAAATATATTTCTGTATGTCTGATAAATATGTAAAAATTGAGATGAATTTGAGTGATCGATGTTTTTATAAATATTTACGTATTTAGAACTAGGTGCATTTCTGATTCTCGCATTAATAGAATTTGTCTCGGATGAACGAATGTAATAAGGAAATTTTTACAAAGTATGAGGAATGTTACACGACAATCCCGAGTAGAATTTATTTTTGGGAACCGGTTGGGTCCCGATTGGGTTTTCCCATATTCAAATAGGGTCCCAAATGGGATACCCAACCGGTTCCCTATTGGAAATGTAACGCTATCCCCATCTGGGACCCGGTAGGGAAAGCCCTAATTGGAAAATTTAGGGAAATTCGTAAACGTGTAAGTTCACGACGTCTTTCTTGCGATGAATTTGTTGGCATAGTACATAAATAAATTGTTGAGAATATCGATGTTGATACACGAAAAAAAAAAAACAAGGTATCACCGAACTGTTTTGTAAACTACTAGTAAGTAGTTATACTGGTCATGAACGCTTGCTACCCCCACTTGCTCTTCAAATTGTCTTCTTGAGTTACAATAAAATGAGTCTAAGATATAGTTAGGGAAATCCCAATTGGGTCCCAATGAATACTTTTCAATAAATGACCAACTGTTACATGAGAATATAAAAAATAATTGTTAATAGGATAGAGTNACTATTTATTATTTATAAATTAAATAATTATTAATTATTCTTCAATAAGATTGTAGTCCGGAAGTGCAGTTTGGGATTGCCCTAAAATACGCAATTCAAAATTCATTGGGCATAGGTGGTAAATGCCCAGTTTGGGCAAATCCAACAATCTCCAATAGGGACCCAATTGGAGTTAGTGAATTCCCAAAATAAATCCTACTCGGGATGCGTTTATTTTAATTGTGACTTGGTTTTCATTATCTATTACGTTGACTATATCAAATAATATTCCAAAAACATTCTTCTGTATTGAAAGTTGTTTTCTTTTGCAGTGCCACCTAAGAAGATCGAGGTTACAGACGAAAAAAGGAGAATCCTATCATCAGTTGTTGGGCCTTTTACAGAAGGTGCTTCGTTCAACCTCAGATGTGATGTTTATGGAGGTATGACTAATTGCAAATATTTATAAAAAAAATCCTATTTCCTTGAAACTTCTTTATGAGAAATCCATGCGAAGAGCTTTTTTGCATTCTCACTTTGAACTTGTAAAGCTTCTACATAGATTTTCAGTCAATATTTTTTGCATAACATAAAAACGACGAACATCTCAAATTACCCTTGTATATACCAGTGTATGTACTCGTATTTGAGTATTAAGAACTCTAAATTTTTTTTTACTTTAACGACACTTGTCTAGACGTAGTACACACATAAAATAGTTGCAAAACCTCATAATGAGAGTTTTTCCCGTTATTAGTTTCATCAAATTAAACCTGAAAGTCTCCATTCGTTTGGGAAATCCTTCGCTTTTCAGCAGGTACCTACCTAGGCGTTATGTAATAGTTCTAGTACCTAGTCCTAAACGCCAAGACATCCTCTTCGATACGCTACACACTTAATTAAAGTTAGCGACGTTCCTATTTGATGCGCACTACGAGATTTATGAATTCATATAAGACTACGGCAATTCTCACGTGAATCGACTAACGACGACTCTTGGTGTCCTATAAAAGTGTTAATTAGTTGCTTTACCGAGTTTCTAGTTAATTTCTGCGAGAATGTGACACTCCATAAAGCTTGCCACATAAAAAAAAAGTAATTGATCCTCGTCGCCGTTCTTCTCCATTGTAAATTATATTATTAGTTTACAAATTTTTAATTTGCTTTACACACCTCGAATCAAAACCTTGTTTTCTTAAGTTTTTCTGAAAAATTGTGCTTTTATTTTTGAAAACTGTCTGGTAGATTGTGTAAATTAATGTTAGATATTTTTTGTTACTTTAATGAAAAATTCATATTCGCAAATATAAGCAAGATCTATATCGAAATCTGTACCCATAGGAACAATTTCCATTCAATTTCCATTAAAAAAAATGCCATTAAATTACCACTGATAATAATTAATGGTAATAAATGGAGAATTGCCAATGGGATTCCCATTCCAGAACTCAATGGGATTTCCATTGCTGAACGCAATGGAAATTCCATTGCTGAACTCAATGGAAATTCCATTGCTGAACTCAATGGAAATTCATTTGCGTTAAGTAATGGAAATCCCATTGCGTTCCATTGGAACTTCATCAGCATGCTTTTTTCCATAATCCATATTATTTTGTTGAGAATTTGGTTCTTCAGGTACCTGAACCAAGGCACGTGCCTGGATGTCTGGCTCTTTATCATTGTGTTTAGATTTTTTTTCACTTGCTTCTGATAAAACTACATCACTCTCACAGATGACTTCGGCCTCCTCTATATTTTGGCATGGTTCAAAATCATCAAACAATGCTTCTAATGTAGGCTTTTTCACTTGTCTAGGGGTTGTTTAATAAAAGGCTCCGGGTAGTTGAATACATATATAATAAACATAATAATGAATATAAACAGCAAACAGCAAAACGAGTAACAAACAGGAACTAAATATATACAACTTATATACAATATTCAATGTATCGCGTCTTCCAAAATACATACGTCTTCGTGTAATCACCATAAATACGTCTTCCGTCTTTTTTGAGCAAAAATGCTCAACGTCTAAATGAAATATACCGTTTTAATCAAACATCTTACTACCTTGCTTGTCTCTCACTCTACTGCCGTGGTGGTCCCTCACGTACCCCCAACATGCACGCATAGGTAAAACTAGATTATTGATTTTCCACCACCTAATTGGCAATATCACTACTCTTGCACCTGGGCAAGCAAAAACTGTATCGAAAAAGGCTAATAGTATATGTGGCCAGGAATTATATTGTAAATGGAAACAATTATTTTTCCATTTATGCCAAATGGTTTTGAATGGAATTTACAAATTTACCATTGATTCCCATTGAACTTCAATGGAAATTTTTCCTACGGGTAGAAGCAGCATTTATGCAGTATTTTGGATGTTCAGTGGGTAATCAAAGAAAAAAGTAGCTTTCTCATATATTTTGTGTACGTTGGCTATCGGAAGAAGAAGTTTATCTGCAATTTGATTCATCAATGAACTTTCATTGTATTTATTAAACGATTAACAGCGATTTGTACCTTATTATCCTTCTTTGTCCTTCTTTCCATTTCTTATAAAATTATAACTGACTCGTTCTCATTTGTACTTGTTTGGTTCGTTATGTGTAAATTGGCATTTTGGTTGTAGAACATTTAATAATTGTAAAATTGGAAAGAACAATTAACTTTTCACGACCATAAGGGATGTTCATCATCCATTAATCTAGAAATTTGATTCAAGATTACCCTAGAGGATAATAGGGGAACAAAAACGTCGAAGTTCGTCACTCAGGGTATGTTCTTTTATTGCTAATCTGAAAGTAAATTCGTCGAAGCGTCGGCTGAGAATGGCCTTTAAGACACCATAAATGAACGACATTATTTGCACGACTAGATGAGCAGATGCTATTAAAGCCTTTTTAATTGGATGTCGAACCCTTTCTACCAAAAGTAATTGCCAACTGGGGTTTTATTAAATTATGTTTTAGTTTGCGTTATTAAGCTGAAGCTAAATTGTAATTTCGGGAGTTTCATTTAAGTGGTAAAAAGTGTGCAACAATTGAGGGGATGTACACTTAGCAGGGTCGTATTTGAAGTCAAACAGTAAATTGAAACAACATTAGAAATATTCTTACCACGAGACACGCACCTCCACCCTTTCCTATCCTGAGCTAATCTTCGCGTTTCCCTAAAACTAAAACAACCCACATCCTTAACTATTTGCGAACAATAATCTAATCTAGGTCTACCTCTACTCCTCTTAACACCCGTTTCTGCCTCTAATATGTCTCTGACTAGGCTTTTATGCCTGAGACAGTGTCCTACCAACCTATCTCACCTATTTCTTATTGACTTCCATAGAGTCCTCTGTTATCCTATTCTTTTTAATACCTCTTCATTTCTAACCTTCTCTATCCACGGTATCCTCATCATTCACCGGTAACACAACATTTAGAACCTTCTTCTTCTTCTAACCTTTTCGTTTCCGCAGCGTCCACAGTCCATGTTTCGCACCCATGCAGCGTCGCACTCCAAACACACACCTTTAAATACCTTTTTTTAATTTTTAAATTAACCGTACGCTAGCATAGGAGTGACTTTTTTTTTATTAAAAGCGACTCAGCTCTGCTCTATCTTCTGTTTTATTGTAGATCCCTACTACTTCTTCTGTCCTGACTTATCTGACTTCCTAGATACCTAAAATCAGCCACTTCTAATTTTTCGTCTCCTATCTTTATATTCAGTCTTTCTCTACTTTTTCTTCCCTTGCAAACCAGTATTTTAGTTTTACTTTTATTTATTTTCATAAAATACTGTTTTGTTAATACCGCTTCCATTTTATTTAAAGCTATCTCTAATTCTTCTTTGGTAGATGCTAATAATGCTATATCATCTGCAAATCTAAGTATACTAATCTTTTGCTCCTCTATATCTTTCCCTACAGTTGTACTGTCTTTAATGATGTTGATCGCGTCTTCGATATATAGATTAAAATGTAGCGGTGACAGTGTACATCTCTGTTCTGTCTGACTTCCTTCCTAATATTTGCTTCTCTAAGTTGCAGCTCTAGCTCTATAGCTGCCTGTTGCTCTTGATACAAACTAAATACTTATCACTCTTCTAGATTTATACATTCAATTTAACTGTGAAGTCATTGAAGCATGAAGTCATTAGGCGATTCATAATTGTTTTATCAATTTGATTCAACTAGCAGAAGCTTATTAACGCCGGAAACCGTCTGCCTTTAAGTCAACCCCGGATTTGTTTCTCTCTACATTTAATTTTAGCAAAGTTCAATATTATATTTTTATTTAGAAATATTTTTGTTATCGTGAATTTCAAGTCAAAAATATTATGAAAGGAATAATTAATTTTGTTAATGTTCTCTGATAATTAAGAAAAACGTCGCTTTTTCTTAGGTTTCGGTTTGTACGCATGACAGAGCACGAAAAACGAAAGAACAACAATCCTAAAAATTTACACAGTGGTTGGCAGTTGGTATGCCTCTTCTTTTGTCCACATTCAAATGTTTCACACTCGAACGAACGTGAATTGTAACGGGAACGAAGTGGTCGTTTTGTTAGCAAGACATTGTGCGACTTGACGAAAATTAACATTTTCCATTATATCAGACGTTGAAAAACCTTCCCTGTTGGAACACACCGAACCGTTCAACAAACTTTACTCGTTTCTAAGTTATATCGAATCTCTTCAGGCGCAAAACTTTAACAAATATAACTAGCTGCATAACAACGAAACTTACGTCCATACGCCTGAAAAAGGAGAATTTAAAAATGACATATTTAGAAGCCACCGAAGTAGACAATGCTTCTTTAGGTAGATAGTAAAATTTTTTGGCCGCAGTTTAAATGTAAAGGAAAATACATAAATTTCAAAATAAAATGCGGCAATTCCTAATAATGTTCACCGCAGTACTACGGATTTTAAACTCATAAAACTTCGGTACAAGTTTTTGTCATCGTATGTAAATGTTGCCGGAAATGTACGAAACCTAGGAATTTTATACAATTCCAAGACTATTTAGGAAATCTATAAATTTTGTTTTAAAGATTTTTTAATATGTATACATTTCCTAAACTCCAATCTGTCATAAATCTCCCTAATCAAACAATGACATCAATGGATATTTGGGTAAGTCACTTGGAACCGATACACAAATAAGCTTTCAGTAGACGTAAATTATAGTATTAATACAGATAGGACAAGTAGCGTACTAGAAAATAATGTAAAAACATGACTTATCAAAAAGAAAAAATTAACCTATTGCTTTTGTTTTATAGTTAGTTTTCACATTCACTCTCATCATGGGAATCTCTATCACTGTCACCAACATCAACAATTAGTTCTTCTGTTTGTCTGTCTATTACTTGCTCACTGATCCCTATTTTTAAATATTTAATCTACGCCCCTGATAATGTATAGATTTTCTAGGAAATTTGTCTAATATAATTTATTTCACACATTTCCTGGCGAATTATTAGAAATTATAAACATTACCTAGGAATTGTAGAAAATGACAGATTTCATACATTTCCGGTAACATATATACTTATAACTGACCACAGACGTCTATTGCGTCAAGACAGTTAATTATTAACGACTTAATTGATTCTTTATGTATATACTTTTATTCAGATTCGTGACTGTAGACATAAATTTTGTTCACATCGTTTAAAACGATCCATCTTCTACATAAATCAGAAGTTAATTTTTCTCATTTTATCGTTGATTCTTTGAAAGCAAAGGAACACGTTATTTAGCTTGATTAAACATACTCTATATATATGTAGGTACACTTCTAACTCAAAGAACTTTGTTCGTTCTCTTTCATTTATTATTTATTTATATTGCAAGTTTGTTTGATATTCGTGCTTCGATTCGTATCTGTAAACGAGCACTACCTCTGGGCATCGCAACGCCCGGACACGTGCAAGGGTGCACTCCTGCCAACTGTTTGATGAATAAAAAATAACGTTGCAACTACTCCAACTGAAACATTTAAAACTGATGAATAGTTAACCATCGTAGAGAAAACAGCTTTTGATTATCTATCTTAGGCACAAAGTCTGGTTGAGTCAGAAAATTAAATATTTTACGTAATATTTATGAGAATAGTGTATAAGTTTTTTATAAATATATACAAATGTGGAACGCTTCACGATTTTGCGTGTTATCCTTGCGCAGGGGTCATGCTAATCTTTGTACCGTCGAATGTGGAAAATTCAAATTGGAGAAGTAGTCAGCGGAAAGAAGAAGGTATTGCCAGTATCTTACGAGTATGATATAGCTTTGAGGACGAACAATCAAGAAGGGATGACAGAAATAATGGGAAAAATGGGAAGATACATCGTAGAAAGAGTCCTAGAGATAAACACGGATAAATCGATGAAAATGAGAGTCAGAAAAGGGTGGAAAAACGAAAAAGATAATAAAATAATACGAAGTGGTCTGTATTCTGTCGAAACTACCAGACGCAGATCGCGATTTCGATCTTTTCGGATCTCATCAGCGCGTCGCAAACAGCTCCGACAGAACACAGACCAACTTTTACCTGCTGTCTTAACAGTGCGTTTTAGAAAATACTACAAATGGCGCAGTACACGCCATCTGTAGAACGATGGTACATTTTAGGATTACGTATGCTCCAACAAGGTCCATTTATGTGGATATCTGTAGTATTTTCGAAAAAGATAATATTTACATGAAATTGAAGAAGTAAAGATGTACAGCTACCTAGGCTACTTCATACAGAAAAACAACGGAAACGGAAAGCAAATAAGAAACTTAAAAGAAAGCCAACTGCAGTCGTAAGGAAAGTATGGAGCATATCTGAAAGGAATTTCAAGGAAAGTTAGGAAATGAAAATGTATTTATAGTAGAATGAAGATTCGGGCTATAGGGCCGTGGTCTAAGTGAACCCTTGTGTTCGGGCGTTTCATCAGCTACTGCGACTGACATCCTCAGTCGTAGTGCTGCGTTGACAACGTGAACGTAGATTATATCTCGACAGTAGCTGTCGAGACTTCGAGATATAATCAGCACTACCACTGAGGATGTCAGCCGCAGTAGCTGACGAAACGTCTGGACAGAATAGTTCACTTAGACCACGGCCCTATAGCCCGAATCTTCATTCTGCTATGGATTCCGGCCGCGAAAACCTTTGTTCTTATATTGAAAATGTATTTATTTGAAGAACTGGTAGAAAGTATACCTTTGTATAGAGTGGAAATATGGAGATGGTCAGAGCACAATGTAATCGAAGGAGTACAAAACAAATACATAAAATTAATCCTCAGACACAGAGAAGTTAAATATGGCAATTGGAATTAGATTAAATAAAACTCCAGTTGTCCCGCTGGTATTGAATTTTAAAAGCTTTTGTCGTTAATTCTAAAAAGTATTTTATATTAATTACGTAAAGCAGAAAACGGATAAATCTATTTTTCAATAAAACATAAAACGAGGGCTTTGAATGTAGAGGATAATTTCGTTTTGTTTTCATTGAGGTAATAAATATGTGGGCGACAAAATAAAACTCAAACAAAATTAATAAAACTAGGTAGGTTTTGCGTTTTCCATTGTTGGATTAATTTATTTTAAACAACGTCGGAATGTTGTTCTTGAACGCCATTGTTTGGATTTCCAAACAAATATCATTTCTCAAACAATACTATTTTTCAATTGTAGGCAGTTGCCCTTTGTAAACATTGAAAGAATGGTTATATCCCTAAATTGTTAGCCGCTCTTTTTAAAAGGTTTCGTTTTAATTTGAAGTCCCCATTTTGTGGCTTCCAGAAATTTTATCCCGGAACGGTTTAAAATTTCTCGCCTACGGTGCAAGAAGAAAAAAAGTACGGAAAGTGGGATTTATTCGGATTTTCCTCGTAATTTACTTTCACGGAGAATATTTATGGCTGTTGTAATAATGCAAAAAAGCCACATGCTGTTTTTTTTTTAAACCACGTTTTGAAAGATTTAATCTAAAGAAACTTGGAGATCGGTAGTGGTTTCACATCCATATCCATATCCATTATACTAAAAAAGAGTAAATATTACACTAATACAATAAAATAAATTGGTGTTTCGATCCTCGTTCAGAAACTAAATTTATATTAAATTCAAAGCTTATTATATTGTTACGATTCCCGAATAAATTTCCTGGTTTTTATGAATATTGAACGACTACAGTAAAAGTTGTAGCGTGTTGAGAACCGAATATAGAGATATTCCAATGCAGCCTAAGCAGGAAATAGAAGTGGTTGAAACAATATATTCGAAATAAATCAAACAAATAATTGTGCAATTTCTATGCTCAGTGAATGTTTTCCCTTACCTGTATAGTTTTTCCTTTTGCCTATTCAACAAGGTGTTTAATTTCACCTTACACGTGGTTTAACGAAGCATGCACAATGTGCAATTCATCCTGGTTAAGGTACTTACTTTTTTTTAATAATTCTTCTGTTATACATGCAAGCTTGTCATGACTTTTAAAGTAATTAGTGTCGATAGTTGTGAGAGAAACTCGATAATTTACCCTTTTTCTATATTTCAACCATGTGTTATCCACTTGTAGGAACAAAGAACACGTACTCCGAGAACATTCCTGTAGATCCATTTTTTCAAACAGTTTTTTTTATATTTAGTTCTCAAATCTAGCAAAACAAACTGAAAATTTTAAATAGTAGAAAAGAATATATTAAAGTTGTTTCAAATAGTTACATAGAAATATCTTCGAGTAATAGGAATGTGAGAGCAGAGCAATTACTGGGGAGCTTCTCAAAGAGAAAATCTTTTGATAATACTTTTTTTAACAGCTTAATATAGATAGCTCGCATATTCTTCTATTACATATAAATCCAAAGAAAGAAACGTATTTTATCCTTTCTTTGGCAATTTTCTACGTGGAAACAGTGTTACTAAATTCCAAAAATATCGACGATATCTATGACATGTGTCTATGACATGTGTTTGGTGAGGTATTTATCTAGGACAAGGCATTACTTGTACAAACAGAGGTCTCGTCTATAAGAGCTAGATGTTATCGTCCTTTATTTAACTTGTTCTATATCCTAAAAAAGTTGAAGTCCGCGATATCCTGGCGAGAGTCATCTCAGTAGCACTCTAAAACTGTCAGCGAAGTCGACGTTCAAAAACAACATCTCTTCGATAAATAATTTTTGATTACCTATATACCTACTCAAAACGTATTTGTGCATTTATTTCGAATTTGTGTGCTTGATGTCGAAACATGAACTCAAAATCAGTCCGATTTACAACTGAGTAAAAAACAATTATTATAGGTACCTACTAAAGACGTTTCCTTGAATATTGCTATGAGAAAGGAAATACTCAAAAGATCTTAATTTAATTATTTCCGTCGTCAGTTTATATTTGCTTCGCAAAATCGTTTGAAGAATTCAGTGTCGCAAAACAAGATTGCTGCCTTTTCAACCTTTCAACTGAATTATATGCTAATCTAAGGTATTTTTTACGTTTGCTGTCAGTTCCTTCGTAATTACAGAAATTGTGCACGAGCCGTAAGAAAAGAATAACAGCAATTCATTGTTTTTGACCTTATCAGAAAATTTTCTTGTGAAAACTCGTTTTATTAACAGTAGTTCAATTACTTTCGTAGATGGTTAAAATTAGATTCATCGCGAAAATAGGGTTTCATTCAAGTCGAAATAACTACTGGCAAAATAAAATCATAATTAATGAGGCGATGGAATAAGACAAATGTAGGAAATACTGTCGAAAAGAAAGAGGAAAGGGTGTCTTTCTTTTATTTTATTTCTTCTAGCTCCCTGTCCTTTGCGTACATTTCTCATCACAACTATGCCAATCGCTTAATTTGTTGCTCAGATAACAGATGTCATAGACCTGATTTAACCTTTACTTTAAACCAAAGTAAAAATTATTCTGATGATATTGTTAAAAAATGAAAAAATAAGGCCTTTCAATGCCATGCTTAAAACTTTTTATATTATGTCTAAGATTTTATTAAATACGTATATACTCAAATTATCTAGCATGGTGTTCTCCTAATGAAGAAAACGAAAAAGGAAAATTTACCTAATTACTAAAGCGATATTTACAATTTATTCCACTAGCCCGTTGCTTCGTAAGTGAAAATAATAAAAATTATAATTTCGATCCGAATTTGTAAAAATAAATTTACTAGGTATTTTAGTTGATATTGTCCACTTCATTCTCTTACTTCTCTTCCAGGAAAACCGCCTCCAGTTGTAACGTGGTTTCGTAACGACGTCCCTATTACCGACCCCGAAAAAGTAACAGTCACCGAGATGAGTCCATCGCATGTCAGAAGTGAACTTCGAATGTCCGGTCTAACAAGAAATGACGTCCACTCTGACCTCACGTGTCAAGCTAACAATAGTCCTCGTAGGCCACCTCTAGCTGCCACTTTGGTACTCGACATGAATTGTAAGCATCTAGTTTCTTAAATATCATTCTGATCGATTCAAACTCGTTGGTTCCCATCAGCACACATTTAAAAGCGTGCTAGTTATTTTAAGTAAAATATACTATATTAAATGCTTCTTTCAATCAAAATTTGAAGTAAAATCTCTACTCAATGCCCGTAAAGTCAGTTTAACGCTTCCTAGACTTCCCCAGTATGGAGTTCCATGTTACTGATCCCCAAGAGAACACTTACTTAGCAACTTTACCGGCTTTATCTATGAACTTTAGCGCCCAAGGGGCAGTTAACGAGTACCTCTTCTTCTATATTACGATGTAGTATACGGTGTGCGACAGGGAAATTCACGTTTAAGGCACGTTTGGCTGGTTGTATATTATACGTATATAACTCCATTCAACTGAGACAAAATAGTACTAAATGAATCAATAATTAATTAATTGTGTAAATACCTTATTTCCAATTAAAAATTGCCCCCTGTTAATATTATCGTTAGCTTAAAAGGAGCGTGTTTTTAAAGGCGAGGTAATCCGATGGATATCAAATTTATTAAAGGCAATGAATGTCACGTGTTTTAATATTGAATTCTTATTTTCAGTCGGACCGTTAGACGTGAAGATCGTAGGGGCAGACCAACCCCTGTCAGCAGGGAGAAGATACGAGCTTGTGTGTCAAAGTTCGGGTTCCAGACCGCACGCTACTATGACATGGTGGAAGGACGGACAGCGCCTGGAAGGCAGTAAGGAAACGGTTTGTATTCTTTAAGATTTACTTCCCTTTTTTCTAGATAATTTATGTTATCCCTCCCTTTATATAAAAGCGCAGATTGCTGTTCTTATGAGGAATGTCTTGAACTACAATATAGCTTACAAATTCTTCGTGAATTTCGCAATAATTTTATAACGTCAGTCAACTTATACGTATGTAGATGGCTTTTTGCACAGTTTGCTTCGCATCTATGAAACATCTTCTATTCGATATTAATTTGAAATCATTTTTGCGATNAGGCAGTAAGGAAACGGTTTGTATTCTTTAAGATTTACTTCCCTTTTTTCTAGATAATTTATGTTATCCCTCCCTTTATATAAAAGCGCAGATTGCTGTTCTTATGAGGAATGTCTTGAACTACAATATAGCTTACAAATTCTTCGTGAATTTCGCAATAATTTTATAACGTCAGTCAACTTATACGTATGTAGATGGCTTTTTGCACAGTTTGCTTCGCATCTATGAAACATCTTCTATTCGATATTAATTTGAAATCATTTTTGCGATTTTTTATTTACCCACTACAAACTACCTCAAATTAATGAGGGAAAAATTGTTGCTGTTGTCTCGCCCCCGCCGGGAATCGAACCCGGGACCTTTGGCTTTACGCACCAATGTTCAAAGCCAAACGTCAAATTGAATCTGAGGACAGTGACTTGTTTAAGCAGTTGGGATACTCCTTTGGGAACTTCAAAGGTGGATAATTTTATAAAGCTATTAAACTCAGTTTTCTTTTTTTGTGGTAATAATTTTAGACTTTATAGTAGCATCTTTGTAAACAGTGAAACTGATAATGAAAAATGTGCAAGAGACGGAATACTCCTTCGCTTAGTGCGCTTTACTTCGAAATGTTTCCGACCTACATGGAGCGGTAATGAAAATGGGCGTTGGCTTTAAATCTTACTTTGTAATTCAAAGTTCAGTACCTCTTCTTGTTAATCAAAACTGCCGCATTAGTTGTGCTTCTTTAATCCTTCTTTTCTAATCAAAAATCCCCACGCCTTTAGTGTCTAAATGAAGAGATAAGAAGACGCTAGGAAACTCGATGGGAATTAATCTCCTGCTGAAAGAAAAAGTTGATTAGTAGGTTTGATTTGGAAAGTGAGAGAGGCAATAGTAGCAATAGTAATGGTGGCGAAGATAGACGAACTATCAGCATCAAATTTTAATTTTACCAAAACGCGAACAAAATCAGCACGCTCCAAGTGGATTGTGTAGAGAAGGGAATGCTACGAAATGAGTTGTTATACGAAATAATGACGAATCAGTTCGATTTTCAGCCAATGCACTTTCAAATAAACAATTAGTTAATGAGAACAAAAGCAAATTGCATCCCCTTCAAGCGGAGCGCTCCAGTGAATTACAACAATAGATTGTTCCTCCTTGGCAAACATGTTTCCCTATTGCTCTCTTCACTTCCTCTTTGCTTGCCAGTTCACTGGCTAAATACGATATATTTGTATGTATATCTATACAGTGTGATTTAAAAAAATAGGAAGGTGGAATACTTTATTGATTTTATTTGTACATATCGAACTAGATCATCTCGATAATACATCAGACATTACTGTTGCTTTTATAAGACATCTAGGGCACCCTGTTGCAGGCAACTTTAATAAGTTTTTATTTCTTCTTGATTGATACATATTCGTATCTAAACAAGGCAACAAAAGTGGGATAATAAACTTCGATTATCTGCCCTTTACTTATACATATCTATATATAGGAAGCGTCAATTGCTATTTTCCGTAGCCAATTCCAATTGATGCGATGTTTTCCAATTATATTCTGATAATAATTGAAGCAATAAAATAGACTTAATCTGATCGGTGTAATATTGTTTCTATACACCAGTTATGACAGCAACATATAATTGTGTTTGCCAGTTCAGTATAGACGTCAATTTCGAATTAATTCGTTCGAATGTTTGATACTCAATTTAAGAGCAATGCACAATTTACCCGAATAAATGATTAATTGTTACACTGTATTAATCTTTGGATAATTGGTACTGATATAAAAAAACCACTAAAGTAATACAACGAAGGAAACTAGTAAAGGTTAATAAATATAAATTAAGAAAAAAGCCGTAGTATCGACTGGGAATAGAATCCGGGCACGCTTACACAGCAGCGAATCCGAATATCGCTAGAAAACTGTTTGTTGTCAGTTCCCTCATCGTGAAAGGCACCGTGGCCCTCTTCTCCTAGTTATCTCGACAACGAGTTGCGGGTGTTTTTGTAAATACAATGAGTTCCGGGTTCAACGCGTTGGAAAAGGCGTCTCCAACCGGATCGTATACATATATTAATTCATTTTATCGTGTGGGATCTACCGTCTTTGTGTTTGCTCTGTGGAGATGTAAATATTTCTCTTTGACGAGTGCAGGCGGCAGAATTATGCAATTATTTCCTGGCAGAGTTAGCGGGGTTTCCGATGTAGATGGAAAATCTAGCGCACATATTAATTAACTATAGTGGCTTCCCACTCCTCGCACTTTCCGGGTCCACATGAAAAATTAATCTCGGACTCTAATTATTATTTGCCTAACAGGGGTCTTTATAAATACATAAGTCCGAAAAGCTGTTTTAACAGGAATAAAATATATTTACGAGTGGTTAGCTTTCAACTTCTCCTTTGAAACTATTTTGGTAATTGTCTAGATGATGGCCTCCACCCCCGAACCGCCACGAACTTTTTATGGTACAGTGGTGGGGGAGACCTCCTCTTTCGACCCCCCCCCTCCCCACCCCCCGAAGGGGTGAGGGCCATCATCTAGACCTTTACCACTATTTTCTCTAGATTTAGATAATCCAGAGAAATTATAAATCAGTTAGCGAGTCCTAACGTATCACTGATCGCTTTTCAACGTTGTTCATCTATTTTTTTTTTTGATCTGAACAAAGTTGGGATGTGCATTCAAATAAATGAGTGCTATTGAACAAATTTTCGGCCCTTTATATTTTATTGAATTACTAAAACGGCCAACTAACCGTTCAACCCAAAACGCGTTCAAAGTATTAATCAATCGGACGTGTGGACAAATTGGAATCACATTCAGAATTTTAAGAGAGCCACTATTTGGTAAACAGAGTGGGTCGCCCACATCGAACAACAATATTTTATGCATGTGTGTCTACGTGTGTGTGTATATTACATGCTGTATGTGTTTGTTGGAATCCAAATAGATGTCGTTTTATATGCTTTGGATCGAATGGTTTAAATTTTCATTTATTAAAGTACGGCTGCCGAACAGACTTTCGATTTGTTTATAAAGGAATCAAAAACTAGTTTCGTATAGATTTTTCATTACATAATCTCATTCTTATTCGTTATTCCTCTTTGTAAAATATTTCGTGGCTTTCGTTCAACTATTATATGAATCTTGTTTGGATTTTAGTAAGCAAATTTCAAATTATTTGTAGGGTAGTTTAAAATTAATAAAAAATGTTAAATTTGCTGTAAGTCTTTATGGTTTCTATCAAGACGAAGATAAGTTTACTTAGAATTCCAGAGTTCGTTATTAAGTACAAAATGCCTTCTTTAAATTTGATTAAATGTTATCTGAAACACCAAACGAAAAAATATTACTGAATTTAACTGGAGTTCCACTGTCTGAAGTAACTTAGTTGCCAGTTTATACCACCACTATGGATACATTTATAACGAACGTGTGCGGACGCAACGTAATGGCCATAACTTCAAAGAACATACTGTAGCGAGCACGAGTGTGTTTGTGTGCGATCGGGCACACGTGTGCGTGAACGGCTTATCGATTCGCCGACTAGCCGCGGCCACCTTTCTTCATGTGCGCCGTATTTGTAAATGTGTGTGTCGTACCTGCGTTCTGGGAAAGCAGTTAAACAGTATAAAGAAAAAATAAACTATCCGGATGTTTCCGGACTGTTCCAGAAAGTAAACAAAAGAGTATTTAAAGGAAGAGACGATCGCCGAGAGAAGAAGAAATAAATTGACCGTTGCAGAAGTGAATCCAGAAATAAATTGACAGTGATAGCAGTGAAATAAATAGCGCAGTTAATAATGATATATCAATTAGTGTAAATAAATAGTTTTTGTCGTTATCAGTCTTAGAAGTTAATTTTGTTAAACCCACGAACAGTACAATATAAATATGAGCTTTTATGTGTACGTATTTACGCCTGGCATATGTGAGAACACGTAGAATAGCAAATATTGCAGCAGAAACCAACAACGTAAAGTAACATCGTTCACGTTGCTCGCCTTCGCTATACTTATATGAACTATATCGTACATCAACCACCCCATGGTATCTGTTCAAAGCACTTAGACGAATGCATACGTTAAGCTCAGTGAAATATGCAAGGGGAAGTCCATTACGTGAAATAGCTGCATAAATTTTTGGTTATTTCAATCTCTGCGAGTGCCTGTTAACTGATGTTTTATTAATACGTGAATGCACTTTCTTTTATTTCGTGCAACAGAAGCGCTACAGTGAAAAATGCTAATGAATAATTTTGAATATGAGTACTGAAATTTCGTATTTTACTGTCATACTTTGGTGGTGATTATTTAGTTAGTTTTACTCTCCAATTCCAGTTTAAATTTGGACATAAAATACGTATTTACTTGCTTTTCTTAACTGCTTTCCCTATTAGTTTTTATTTTGTCTGAGAAAATAAGTCCGTCACGATAAAATTCCTCCCAAAGTAGCATTCAATTCTGGCAACGGCTTGCAGAGTTCTGAAAAGGTTTTGAGGAGCGATTAAGTAAAGAGGACGTGGGGCTATGTTGGTAATCTTTCGAGACCATTTTCGAAGGAACGTGTATGCTACAAAGTGTAAAACAATAACAGGAAAGATTAAAAGCTACCATCGACACGAACAAACATGAACCGTTCTCGACTGTAAAAGATCTACCTCTTTCGTCTCCCTTAACCGATAAGCTTCGAGTTTCCGATAAACACTCATGCATCGGCGAGAACCGTTATCATGAGAAAACTA